CTTCTTTGCTGGACGGAGGCTGGGTGCAAACTTTCACCTCGCGTCGGGTATTGTCCTCTGCGACGTCCGCGCAGTTAAGTTATAGCTGGACGTGGCCAGTTATCCAACACAGTTGGGAAATACTAGGCTGTTGTGTGCATGCCGGTCTGCTGCCAGTTGTCAATCGCCGCATCGTGGGACGACCTGAGGACCGAACTTGGGAGCTCAAGACTGGTTTTTGTGATGGTATATCTTGTTCTGGTCTGTTTGTCCTATTGATCACTTGGGGTGTTTATGTGTATTGGCCCGATACTCTCCCTGTAAGTGGCTGTAGTAGGTCCTTATCATCCCCCACTCATTAGGTATCACCAGTCAATATATGGTCTGATCACTGAGCTAGTCTATTAAGGCGAGTTTAATTAGCTAGCTCCGTGTTGTTTTAGCGGCTTGTTGTTGTGCTTGAGGTGCAAGCTCCTTCATGCTTGAACGGATACTTAGCTTTAGTAAATCGTTGTATCCAACAATCTGGTTGTGTATTTGCTTACTATTTTGGATCATTTTCCGTCCAGTCTCCCTGGACGGTAGTTGGCACCGTGACACGCTCTTAGCAATATTCCAGCACGGCGGGGAACACCAGAAATGGGCTTCACGCATTGTACCCATATGGGGAATCGAACCCGGGTCTTCGGCGTGACGAGCGAACGCTTTAACCACAAGGCTACCCCACCGCCCCCGTTTGACTGACTGACTGACTGAGTTTGGTTTTACGCCGTTTTTAGCAACATCACGGCGGGGGACACCAGAAATAGGCTTCACACATTGTACCCATGTGGGGAATCGAACCCAGGTCTTCGGCGTGACGAGCGAACGCTTTAAACACAAGGCTACCCCACCGCCCCCGTTTTACTACGGGCAGACTAGAATGGCGTAGTGACGTCTATTCTGCGTGACGAAATGCAAAAAGTATACTTTGTCGCGTGATAAAGTACTGTCGGCGCATTTGATATTTCAGCGAAGCATCTTAGAATAAAACATTAACATGACCAATATACGGATAGTGTATACCTTTTTGCCCTGCATTCTGCAAATAGACACAGACTGAATCGTTATGTTCTAGTATCTTTGTTTATCTCCGAGAAATTTAGACAAGAATTGTAGAATGTTTAACACCTATCGAAATATTGCCTGAAAGGGTTAAAAATTTATAGCTGAACCTCGTTCAAACAAATAAACTGCTCATGGTTCTGCTGACGGTGGCGTATATTGTGGCGGTGCTATAGCTTAGTAGTTAATACGTCACGCCGAAGACCTGGGTTCGATTCTCGACATGGGTACAATGTATAAAGTCCATTTCTAGTGTCCCCGCCGTTGTATTTCAGGAATATTGCTAAGAGCGGCGTAAAACTAAAACTCACTCACTCCTATAAAAGGAGATGTTTGTGTTTTCAAGATGGCCAAAAATGCACACCTGATAAAATCCACCTAACCTAATTAATTTCACTGGATGGCGGCATGGAAGAATCGTCGCGGATGTGCACGGAATGGAGTCTTCGGATAGTCTTCGGCATTTTTGCACGGAAAATTGGTTAAAATCCTACGGAAAATTGCAATTTGATACTCCTTCGGAATACATTCCGAACGTTTACGGAATATACGGAACAATTGCGACAAAACTACGGTAGAACCTAGGATTAATTGCGGAATACCCCACGGAAGAAATGCGGAACAAGTAGGAATGTGTGCGGAATGCTCCGGAATGCTACTGAAGACTTTCAGAGTGTTAGAGGAACACATACGGAAACCATGGAACATTGGGGGAATAACTACGAGACTAATCCGTTTGAGAAGGAAGAACTTCGGAAGAATTGCGGAAACACGCGGAATAACATCGGAATACTTGCTTTATAGCCGGAATGACTCCGGAAGACCCTCGTCAACCACGTTTAATTTCGGAATGAACGCGTCATTTCTGCGGATGAAGTCTGCAAAGATCAAAGGATTTTCACCTGATTCCGCCTATAAATACGCGGATTCGACCAAGGAAGCTCAATTCTGCAAGTGAAGACTACATGGGCTTCTTCTCCATCGTTCTGTTAGCACTGGTAGACGCCAACTACAGGTTCCTGTGGATAGATGTCGGTGGGATGGGCCACATGTCTGATGCCCAGATATTCAACGCCTCGGAGCTCAAAGAATGAATCGAAGACGAAACCATCAACTTCCCCAGACCTGAACCACTCCCATACACCGACGCTGACACGCCATACTTCCTTCTGGGGGACGATGCTTTTGCCCTCAGAAAGTACCTCATGAAGCCATACTCTAGACGCGGCCTTACAGAGGAAGAATTGGTGTTCAACTACAGGATATCCCGAGCACGCAGAGTCGTTGAGAATGCCTTTGGCATCTTGGCCAATCGCTGGCAATGCCTTCTATCTACACTGCAACAAGGACCAGACGTCGTGAGAAGTATGGTTGAAGGTGCTGTCTGCCTTCACAACATCATGAGGACGAGGTACACTGCCAACCAGGATGCACTTGTAGACAGAGAAGACGATGACCACAACATCATCCTTGGGTAGTGGCGTCATGCATGCATGATTTGGCCGAAGTGATGGGTCCCAACGGTGACAAGCCAGGAAAGCCACATTTAAAAAGTGACTTTTGCCAGGAAGGCCACATTTCAATTGCATGGCTGTAGCCGGTAAAGCCACATTTCCAATAGACTAATTAATCAATGGATTACTGTAACCGGTAAACGAGTGCCCCTATGTATAATATAAACGAATAATCTGTCTTACTCACAAGAGTAGTGTTTAGCATTACCGGTAAAAGACTATCCATACTTATGATTTTAAATCACATTGTATAATATTGTTCTTACAAGAAACGAATAATCTTTCCTACTCACAAGCGCGGTGTTTAGCTTCTTCACTCGGAGTTTATTACTCAAAATGGAACCACCTCCGGTGGTGCAGGAGTACATACAATGGAATACAGAATATACAAAGTATGCAAAAAGGTGACAGGGAATATACGTAATGATTACTGAAAACTAGAACATATACATTTGATAAATTTAGATAGGTGTTTGATTGTTGAAATTTTAGGAATTGACATCATTTTGTTTATATGTAGAGAGACCAGGGAAGGAACACGATCTATCTTCTAGGTGGCAGATGCGTTGTTGGCTAAAGATATAATGGAATTCATCCCCAGTTAACTGCGAGTTACAAAGGTTACATATTCTTTCTTTTCATGCGAGATTCGTCCATCTCCCACTTTCTATTGGCAATTATAATATTGTCCTTTTGATGAATAATTCATTTCACTGGTCCACGATTGTAAAAACTGGTCTTTCAGGATTGATAAGGTAAAGAGACTTGTCCAGAAGTACCGCCCTAACATTTACGAGATAGTAAAGCTCTTCAGCGTGAGCAGTCTCTCACAGAGGTTGCTGTCCTGAGACTTTCTGACCAGTGGACAGCACCTTCACGAAGAAAGAAATGTAGAAACATTGACGCTGGTATTGCATCACTGAAGCCAACACCTGAGTGACATGGAGTATACGGATAATGTGGGCGACCTCCTTCATCTGCAGTAGGGGGTGTAAAAAAGAATGTTTTGTGATCTTACGCCATTTTATCTGTTTGCACACATGGCAACAAACTAAACCATTATCATTATTATTATTTTTTACAGATTAAGATTTATTATAATTTTGTGATATTATTATATGTAATATACCTATTAGTATATTATATTGTTTTAATATAGAAACAAAACCTGTTGTGATCTAAATAAAATTATGAGGAAACATGTCTTGTTTTGTTAAATACGGTAACGCGTTTGAATCACTGAGCATGTTTTGACAGCATAGCCGTGAGCGCCACATTCCATGTTCACGCAACCGTAACTATTGCCGGGAGAGCCACATCAATTTAGGCTATCTGTTTCGGAAATGTGGCTCTCCCGGCCTGTAAACCGTCCCAACAGATACACTGTAGAGGCCAAGAAACAGCGAGAGTATCTGAAACTCTACTTCAACAGTGAAGAGGGACAAGTTGCTTGGCAACCATATGTCATAAGACAGGCTCAAGTGTAATTGTTCCGAGATGGATGGACGCTACTTCCTTCATACGTAATATACACTCTAGACTCTTGACGCAGTATCACCTCACTCAGTGGACTCTTTGTGTATGCTATGTCATTGACATTGCTATGTCTTTTGTCATTTACTCATTCTTGCATTAAAATGTTGTTAAATGTTTCCTCTGTCATGTTTTTCTTACAAGTTACAGTTATGTCGGGTTTTGAAGCTTGTATTGATAGCTGGACATCATCACCCTTCAGTGCCGCACAAAAGAATGTGAACACAATAAAAGAGAGTTTAATTTTGTATGTAATGTGTAATGTTGTTCACTTTCACAATTCAGTACCGGACAAAAGGGTGTGAACACATTTAAGGGCAAGAGATAATTTGATTTATACAACCCAACAAAAGCTTAGAATGACCATTGAAAATGTATTGAAACAGTTATAACAACGGGAATAGTCATCGTAATAATTTATAACTTTTCTGTAAAACAAGCCAAACCAATCAAAAGTTCATACACATTACTGGAACAAACAGCAAAATGATATTTTCTATATCTTTAAGAAACTTATGCAAGCGATTCTAAACTATTATCAGGTAGTATAGTATGCCCTGTGTATTGATGTTCACATCCTTTTGTTCGGCAGTATTGATACCAATTAACCCTTGTCCTGCACCACACTGTATTTATATTGCATAATGTCTGTATGTCACAGATTCTTATTACTATGTTCCAATAACCTCATGTCTGGGGTACCATTTCATTGTCCATGCACAGAGAACAAACAATCACGAATTGCATTGTCAAAATTTAATGAAACATAAATAAAAACCAAAACGAACAATAAACAAAGCACTAGTGTCACACAGTTCACTACGGAGAACTGGAATCATCCAACTCCTCACAGCAGCGTCTCAGTACACTTCAAATGTTGGAGAGGCTTGGCTCACTCCCACTTGTGATGTCTCTGGCAACAGGGGTGGATGTCGGCGTTGACGTACAGGTCACGGGGGGACAACTCATTAGTCTTGGCGGTTGTTCCTGTTGCTCTGCTGCTGAGGACGGTGGGGGCTGCCAGTAGTGTTGTTGCTGTTGTTGCTGCGACTGATGCTGGTTATGCTGTTGCTGAACAGGTCGAACTTGCTGTTGCTGCTGAGACTGTCGATGATGGAACTGTTGCTCTTGAAACTGATGATGATGAAGCTGCTGCACTTGCTGAGGAGGTTGCATGACTTCAGCTCTGTCCAAACAGTCGTTCATCAGTTGCTGAATCTTTATCTTGGCGTCCCCGTACACAGGTTTTGGCAGATTCTTTAGGATATCTCCCACCCAGCTTATGAATGTCACTCTCTCTGACTGGTCGGCTGACAGAACCTCTTGTCTCTGCTTCACCAGCTGCTCCATTGATGATAGTATCCTATCAGCTCTATCGTCAAGGCTGGATATACATGAATCGGATCCACCAGACTTGTGTTTCCCAAGGCTGCCCTGACTTAATGTTGATGTGGATACCGGTGTCACGGGCGTTGTACAGACGGTGGTGGTGGTGGGCGTTGGCTGTTTAACTGCTGGCATCTCTATGTCGAGTGGTATGTCCTCTGTCTCTTGTGATGTGGATGGCAGTGGTGATTCTTCAGTGGTTGAGGACGTGGAAGCGCCAGACCCAGCTGCAGCAGCGATCTTCGCTTTGAGGGCCACAACGTTCCTCCTCTGCACCTCTACGATGTGTGGGCAGAGGAAGCTGAACCTGTCATAAATCTACCTGTCCCTTTCGGACATCTGTATATCAACTTGTCCAGATTTCCAACGTCGCAATTTCCCCAATCGAGTCCGGACACTGTGGAACCATTGCTTCAGTTCATCTTCGGTCTTCCCCATACGATCGGCCTAGTCTGACCATACTTTTGCTTTCTGGTGCTTGTCACTCACGGATCGGAGTTTCTTGTTGTACAGACATTGGTTAACCCTGATGAAGTCCACCATGACCATTTTTCAACTTAATGTAAATTCGGGGCTTCTTGCTAGGGGCAGTGGCGGCATCAGTTTCAACAACACGAGCAACATCTGATTCTGCATCAATGTCATGTGGATCAGGAGCAGGTTCTGGATCTTGTGAGGGTTCTGGTGGGGGTGACCTCCTTCTCTTGGTACCCTTCTTCTGGGCTCTTGGCATAGTGATTTGCAGCAGAGATGTCTTGCAAATGAATGGCAGACAGTCAACCTCGCCACCAGGAGCAATTATTTCATAAGTGTTCCGTACTTTCCTATAGTATTCCGCAAATGTTCATTTTGTTCTGCGACCATTCCATAATAGTTCCGTGAACGTTCCGTGACCATTCCTCCATGTTCCTCGTTCCGTCCGTAATTCTTCCACGGTGTTCCGTGTGTATTCTGTGCCTTCCTTGTGTGAGCGAGAGTATTCCGTTTTCATCCGTGCGTGAACGCAATTAATCCATGGCCAAATTACATCGCATGGAAAGGGAAGGAAAGTTAGCGGAATACTCGCGGAAGACTTGTGGTATGTGCTTTTATATAAGGAATGAATACGGACAACTTGCGGAAAGGGCGGAATACTTACGGATTGACCTTTGACCCCGCGGAACAAAGACAGATTTTTATTCCGTCTGTTCAAAAGCACGTTTGGGGAAAATTGTGGCCTGCCGGAACATTACGGAACATGAAGAACACTTGCGTAATAACTGCCTTCCCTGGAGGAAAGCCGCGGAAGATGGGAGAATATTTTCGGACAATTTGCGGATGTGACCATTTTTGCTTCCGCAATTATGCCGCAGCCCAGTGAAATGGGGGTATAAGGTCTGCCCACATAACATCATTAATGAGGTAAATGGGGCATGATCACTCATCAGTGGGCGGGAGTTAAGTAAAGGGCAAGTTTCTACGGATATTAACCTTTTTGTCTTGCACTTTTTCATCATAAAACGTGTTTGTCACGTAGTTTTATAGCCAAAACAGTACAGTTACCAGAAGTAACTAATGTATTATTTGCGTTATGTCTTATTCATATTATCCACATTAACTAAGAGTTCTATGTCCACAAGAAATACACCATCTGTTACGTCCCTTGGACATGACGTCATTGGTGCCCAGCTGATAAACTAATGACGTTTTTAGATCTTATTAGACCGATTTCACGTGGTGCATGTTTTGGTGTGGTTCTGGCTGTCAGCTAGCTATGTGGTCAGTTCCACGCTGTGATGACGTTGCAGTTTGAAAATACGTATAAATAAAATGACAAATGGTCTTTGTCATCAACACCAAGTGTCTAAGTGAAATAGTAATCTAGTTAGATATAACAGGTACCGAGCTGGGAGAGGACCACTTTTTTTAAAATGTAAAGAAAGACAATCTCAGATTTTACACTGTGAATAATTTTCTCATACTGTGTTCAGGGGAATGAAGCTTCTTTCATAGACTAACGCTTAGTCTCTAAATATATATAATATTGATAGTAACAAACAAGCCAAATTAAATTGAAAAGGAGACCCAGGGAGACCAGATATTCAGAACCTGGAGAAATCTAGACTTGCCTGAACCTCAGGAAATATAGACTTGCTTTATTTAGGGCTTTAGCACTGGAGATAGGGCTTGGCAGTAGGGAAAATAATGTGGTTCAGGGACTGTGAGACAGACTACTTCTTTCACTGTGCTCAAGCTGTTTGGAGAAGAATTCAGACTCTTGGACTTGTTTCACTGTGCAAGGAATTTTAAGACCCTGACTTTCATAGGCTAGCAGCTCGTGCAAAGGCTCTTGTTCCACTTGAGGAAGTGAGGCATGAATGCCCACATCGTCTAATGAACATTACCTACGTGAACTGAGCTGGATATTGGTGCTGTACAAATATAAATAAATAAACACATAAAAACATACATACATACACACTTACATACACACATATATACACACATACAGACAGACAGACAGACACATACATACATACATACATACACATACACAACATACACGCATGCATGCAGGCATCCATCTATCCATCCATCCATCCATCCATCCATCCATCCATACATACATACATACATACATACATACATGCACACATACATACATACATACATACATACATACATGCACACATGCACACATACATACACATACACGCACATGCAAGCATCTATACATCCATCCATACATCCATACATTTTGTTACGGTTAATAATTTGCGGTGACAACAAGTTTAAAAGTCCCCTTTGAACCTGCAGAATAGAACACAGACAAGTCTAAAATATTAATAATACATTGGGCAAGCTACAATGAATGCCAATACAGATTTCTAGTACAATGCAATTGAGTCACAAATCTAAAATATTGGGTCCCAAATATAAAATATCAACTCACAAGAGTCTTGACATTTAAAGTCGGAACAGATATATAGATTGACGGTTGTTTACAATGACAGCGGTTGAATAGACAAGCACGGTCGGTCTTGAAATGTTGAACAACTTGACGATGGCAGACAGATGTGTATAAATCCAGTCATGTGAAAACACCCATCCGCACCACTCACCAACCAGCCTTTATATAGCTCTTACACAGGTCTCGAGCATTCTAGCAAAGCTAGACTCCCTCATTATTCTCTCAGAACGACTTTCTTGAACACACGACATGATGAAAGCCGGAAGTCAAAACAAAAGATTGCCAAGGGCAGGTAATTCTGAAGCGCTATCTAAAACATACGTACTGCTAGAAATACTATTGCCCTACACTCAACACTTTAAACATTGTGATCCATAATAACTATCACTTAATCAATGTTATATTACACATTACAAAACACACACTCTCATAACAATACATACATACATAGTTGGATGATCTTAGGTCATGTAGGCTGACACTCATTTTTAAAGGTAATGACATGTAGGCTTGTGGTCAACACATGTCATTGTTTTAGAGAAGCACACCGCTTCATAATATACATACATAATATAAACATACATCATAGGTAACATCGTTTGTAACACATTATGTTACAGGCTACAGACGCAGCAGACGTAAGCATGTCGTCATTGCCATGGCAGCCGAAACATGTTAAACAGGAGGAATAACAACTGGAACTGAAGCAGAGCTTTTTTTTAAAAATATTCATGAAACGGAATATATAGAAACTATGATATTCATATTACCATTTCTGATGCAACGTTTTTTTGGTAATGTTAGCTATTTATTGACTGATATTCGTACGACGTGAAAAGTAGAGACACGTTTTGCTAATCCCGTTAAAAACTGTTCGAAACTATTGAGAACGCGGTTCACATTAACATCGGTTTGTGAATACATGGACACCATCTACAGATCAGTACATGGCCACAATTTATAGATCAGTACATGGCCACAATCTGTAAATCAGTACATGGCCACAATCTATAGATCAGTACATGGCCACAATCTACGGATCAGTACGTGGACACAATCTACAGATCAGTACATGGCCACAATCTATAGATCAGTACATGGCCGCAATCGATGGATCAGTAGATGGCCACAATCAACAGATCAGTACGTGGACACAATCTGTAGACTAGTACATTGCCACAATCGATGGATCAGTACATAGACACAATCTGAAGATCAGAACATGGACACAATCTGAAGATCAGAACATGGACACGATCTACAGATCAGTACATAGACACAATCTATAGATCAGTACATGGCCACCATCGACGGATCAGCACATGGCCACAATCTACAGATCAGTACATGGACACAATCGATGGATCAGTATATGGACACAATATACAGATCAGTACATGGCCACAATCTATAGATCAGTACTTGGCCGCAATCGATGGAACAGTACATGGCAACAATCTACAGTTCAGTACATGGCCACAATCTATAGACTAGTACATGGCCACAATCGATGGATCAGTATATAGACACAATCTACAGATCAGAACATGGACACGATCTACAGATCAGTACATAGACACAATCTATAGATCAGTACATGGCCACCATCGATGGATCAGTACACGGCCACAATCTACAGATCAGTATATACTCAGAATCTATAGATCAGTACATGGTCACAATCGATGTATCAGTACATAGACACAATTGATGGATCAGTACATGGCCACAATCTACAGTTCAGTACATAGACACAATCTATAGATCAGTACATAGACGCAATGTACAGATCAGTACATGGACACAATCTACAGATCAGTACATAGACAAAATTTATAGATCAGTACATGGACACAATCTATAGAACAGTGTATAGACGCAATCTACAGATCAGTACATGGACACAATTTATAGATCAGTACATGGACACAATCGATGGATCCGTACATGGACAGAATCTCTTGATCAGTACACGGCCACAATCTACAGATCAGTACATGGACACAATCTATATATCAGTACATGGACACAATTGATGGATCAGTACATGGCCACAATCTACAGTTCAGTATATGGACACAATCTATTGATCAGTACACGGCCACAATCTACAGATCAGTACATGGACACAATCTATAGATCAGTAGATGGACACAATCGATGGATCAGTAGATGGCCACAATCAACAGATCAGTACGTGGACACAATCTGTAGACTAGTACATGGCCACAATCTATGGATCAGTACATAGACACAATCTGAAGATCAGAACATGGACACGATCTACAGATCAGCACATTGCCACAATCTATAGATCAGTACATGGACACAATTGATGAATCAGTACATGGACACAATCTACAGTTCCGTATATGGACACAATCTATTGATCAGTACATGGACACAATCTATAGATCAGTAGATGGACACAACTGATGGATCAGTACATGGCCACAATCTACAGATCAGTGCATAGACACAATTTATAGATCAGTACATGGACACAATCTACAGTTTAGTACATTACCACAATTTATAGATCAGTACATAGATACAATGTACACATCAGTACATGGCCACAATCGATGTATCAGTACATGGCCACAATCGATGGATCAGTACATAGACACAATCTATAGATCAGGAGATGGACACAATTGATGGATCAATACATGGCCACAGTCTACAGTTCAGTACATGGCCACAATCTATAGCTCAGTACATGGACACAATTTATAGATCAGTACATGGACGCAATCTACAGATCAGTACATGGACACAAT